GAAGAGAACAATAATTGGGTAATGTAATAGATACTCAAATAAGAAAAGTAGGATTGTCCAATAATTTCATCAAATTGTGAAATTACAAATATCTTATTAGATCAATATATTGGGTTACCTCTAGATTGAGAGATGGAATTCAAGGTAGTTGGTTCTTAGAGTATTGAACATGTTTCTATGATTTAGTATCACAAGAATCAAGAGGAATTGTCTATGTGTGATTTAGAGTCGGCAGTAGTCGAGTTACCTTAAAAGATTGATGTCATTATCGGTATAGTGAGTGGTAATATAGTGGTGCTAATCACACGAGCCTTAATTACTTGTGGAATTGAAGATAGGGAATATGAGAGAGGAAAGATGTTCAGAACCTCTTAAAGTGTATGAGGTGATCATTGATTATATTGCAATAGAATAAAAATTCCTGGATAGAATGTTATAGGTAGAAAGTGAAGAATTAAAAACTTTAAGAGGTCAGGTTCGACAGATATTGTAGTATTGTGTTAAACGCACAGTTTTTAAAATTCGAGGACAATTTTTCTTAAGGGGAGATTTTTAATACCCAAATAATAGGCCAGTGACTAATTTAAAAAAATAAAAATTGAAGATTTATTTGAATAATTGGTAAAAGATAATAAAATGAATTGAAATAGTGTTTAAACTAAATTGTAGAAATAGATGAATAATGAGGGCATTTTGGTCTTTTAGAGTGAAATAAATTTTAAAACCCATTTAAATTAGGGATTTAAATAAAAGGGGAAAGAAAACTAAATAAGCTATTTTCTTATTCTTTCTTCTTCCCCGTGGGTTACTATCTTCCATAGCTCTAAAGGTAAATTTCAATTATGTGGTTTTTTCTTTTGATTGTGGTTTGTTTTTACAACTGTAAGTGATATAAAAGCTTAATGAAGGATTAATTGAGGTTTAAATCATGAAATAGAGAAAATATTAGAGATTTTAGAAAATGGGTTTTGAAATGAAATGTTAGTATATTGGTGTTTATTGAGGTTTACTGGTAGATTTGACTTACCAAAGAGATAAATGAGAGATTAGAAGTATTAAATGGGTTAAAGAACATAATATAAAAAGTGGTTTAATTCTTAGAATTGAATGTTCTTGAAAGATGTTAGATGTTTTAGGAAACAAATTGAAAGAATGTTAGTATGGATAGTTAAGGAAGAGTGTAATAGTATTGAATGTGGTAAATATAAAGAAATTTGACCTCATTTGGGTGATTTTTGAGCTGAAAACTGGAATTTCTGGGTGAGGGTATCAATACTACTAAGAACAATACCGATACCACATGCTAAAATTTGATAAATAGATGAGTAGTAGCAATACTGATTCAATCAGTATCGATACCTATGGGGTGGTATCGATACCATGGTAAGGGGTATGATACCAAGAGAACATCAAATCTAATTTTGGTATCGATATCGATAGGGGTATCGATACCCTAGTAGGGTAGTATCGATACCCTGGTAAGGGTATCAATACCAAGAAACATCGAACCATTTTTAAATCGGTACCCAAAAGGGGTATCGGTACCATATTATAGAAGTATCGGTACTAGGTTAGTAGTATCAATACTATGGAGCCAGAAATGTTAAAATAGGCTGATATTGGTATAGAAAGTTAATGATATGTTCTTTTGAGTATTGTTTAAGTATAATGGTTAGAAAATATTCTAATATTGGATATGGTATATGTTTTATGAATGCTTGAGTAGATCGGAACCAAGCTCCCGAAACAAGCAAAACTAAGGGCAAAGGCAAAGTTTCAGAGTAATCAGCCTTATATTTAGGATACATAGCAAGGAAAGTTAGGTGAGTGCGTTTAATTATGTACGTACATGCTACCCTAGTTATAGTTGTAGAAATGATTAATGTAAGTATGGTGATTACCAAATGGCACTTCGTGTGCAAGATGTTAATAAATTTATACTAAGTGTATGAATTTCAGTATAGAGCACTTCGTGTGCTAACATGATAAGAAATTCAGACTAAGTGTATGAATTTCTGTATCGGGCACCTTGTGTGCTAAATGATAAGAAATTCATACTAAGTGTATGAATTTCCGTATGGAATTTATATGGGTATAAACATAGGAACTGCATAATAAGGAAATTGGTCTTTATATTAGTAATGGGTATGCGAATCACACAGATTATAGAAATGATTGATAAATGATGATATTAGCACTAGGGATGTAAATTATGGAATACGAAGTGAATTGAAAGATCCCGTGAAAGATGAAATTGTCAGAAGCTCATAATAGAAGGTGAATTATCGTAATTGTATTGAATTAGTAATCCATGTAAATTATAGAAAAATTTATGTATTAATGCACTGGTAGTATGGAAATAAACCATATAAGGTATAATGATGGAAAGAGTTAATTGATATGATGAGTGATTATTATATTAGAGACTTCTCTAAAGTTAAAGAATAAAGGCATAACTGTGCATATGACAGAAATGTGTCATTTATGCCAGTTAGATGAAAGACTAAGTGTCTTTGAGGCCTAACTGTGCATATGACAGAAAGGTGTCATTTATGCCAGTTAGATGAAAGACTAAGTATCTTTGAGGCCTAACTGTGCATATGACAGAAAAGTGTCATTTATGCCAGTTAGATGAAAGACTAAGTGTCTTTGAGGCCTAACTATGCAATTGGAAGAAAGGTGTCAATTATGCCAGTTAGATGAACGGTTAAGTACCGTTGAGTAAAAGAATAATGACCTAACTGTGCAATTGGCAGAAAGGTGTCAATTATGCCAGTTAGATGAATGGTTAAGTACCGTTGAGTAAAAGAATAATGGCCTAACTGTGCAATTGGTAGAAAGGTGTCAATTATGACAGTTAGATGAACGGTTAAGTACCGTTGAGTAAAAGAATAATGGTCTAACTGTGCATTGGCAGAAAGGTGTCAATTATACCATTTAGACGAACGTTAAACACTGTTGAGTAAGAGAATAAAGAAATTATAATGTAATGTGATATGAATGATTTATAAGTGATACGAAAGGATAATATATATATATAACGTTCAAAAATACATAATTAGTATGAAGGGATGTTATAAAGGAAAAATGTAAACAAATTATAATGGGTATGAAATGATACCCCAAATGAAAATACAACCAGTGTATTAACAGTATTTAAGGTGCCACCATAAGGATTATAAAGGATATACGATCAATGAGCACCTTGGTGAAATACATGTGCAATACTTTTACACGTAATGTACATTGGAAAAATAAAGAATTAAGGGGGATAATATACAAAAAGATAAGTATGATAGGTATAATATAATTAATTTCCATGATAGTATGAAAGAATTATAGTTGAACTAAGAATGGTTTAACTAGTCCTTATAAATAATGAAATTACATTCTTTATTCAATATTCATAAGATATTGTTGTATAGTTGTAATATCATTGCAGTATTATGCCTCACTAAGTAATATTTAACGTGTGTTCATTTCACGCGTAGGTTAAATACCATCTGAGTAAGAAGATCATCAGATATCAAGTCAAAGTCACCTAATTCAGTAACAGTATGGCATACCTGTCTATTTTTGATATATTTTAGTTGGCATGTAATAGGTTATTAAAATACTCTGTAAACCTTTTTGAACTAAACAACTGTAAAATGTTGGATGGTGGAACATCACTTGTTATTTGTATATGTAAGTGAATGCATGTTTTAATTATAAATGAATTCTAATGGTTTTATAAAATGAAACAAAATTGTACGAATTTTTCCAATGAGAAATGATTTTAAAAGTGATGTGACATCTGTAGCTTGTAGACGTAAAAGTATACGGGAGATGGGTGTTACATTGCAAGAACCAACTATAATCGAAAGAAAACATTAACATATTAAAATTTTACCTTTACTATGGGGGAGAGCTATTTCCACGGGAAGAAGAAGAAAAAGATGACCTTTACATAACCTAAATTCTCTTTTTACCCCTTTTTCTTTAATACTTTATAGAAAATGAATTTTAAATTCATTTTCACTTTCATGGACCAAAATGTCCTCTTAATTCATCTACTGCTATAATTTAGTTCAAAATACTATTCCAAATTATTTTCTCATCTTTTACCAATTATTCAAATAAATCTTCAAATTTTAATTCTTTTCAATTTAGTCCTTGACCTAATATTTGGGGTATTAGGTGCTTATCTTATGACATATGTTGTTTTATTATTAATATGCAATATTTTGATATTAATTATTTAATATTTTATATTTTCACATGATATTTTCCGTTTTTAATACTGTTTTGGTTATATTATAATTTTAGAATACTAAAAATGTTTTAGAAAATTTAATATATTCCGTTAGATATAATAGTAATGCATGAGCTTAATCTAGAATTAAAAGAATTTATTATCTCCCTTAAAAACTTTAAATTTAAACACTGCGTTTTATAAGATTACGATGATTTGATTTTATATTTTAAATTTTTTTTCGAATTTGAGTACATGTAAGTGAAGTTTATTGTCACATGATAGGTGTCTTTGAATATATATTATATTATATTTACTTAATTTATAAAAAAATAAATTACATATTTAATACTTAAATTATTAATTTTAATATATTTTAATATCTAATAATTTTTTCATAACCATAGCTAAACTTTAATTTTTATTTCATTTTAATATTTTATTGTTAAAAATTTTAGTTTTTATTTTATATTAGTATCATTTTAAAAACTTTAATTTTTATTTTATATTAGTGTCATTTTAGTACACAATAAAAAATTTACATTAAATTTTAAAAAATAAATTAAAAGTATAAATCCTATAACATATTAAAATGATCGTTTAGACACTAAATGCATCAAGTTTTCAACTGCATATACTAAAATGAAATGAAAACAAAATATTATGTATGATTTTGAAAAAAATTAAAAGTTTAGATATTAAAATAAATCAAAATTAATATTCCAGGTATTAAATACTTAGTTTAGCCTAAAAACTCACATCGTGCTTTATCAAATTACAAGTTGGAAAACGAAGATTCAACAAGAACATATAATTGTAATCACATAATAAAATCCTTAATTATCTAAAAAAATACGAGATAAATATCAAAGCAAAACAGAAAAAGATGACAACAAAAGAGTATCCCAAACACAACCATTCCAAAAATGAAGCACTTATCTAACTCAATCGCAATTCTTAAGCCTCTCTAGGCGCTGATTCAACTGCTCGACCGTTACGACAAGGTGAGTGATAGAGTAAAAAAGCCAATAAAAAAGAAGGGTGGCGGCGATGAGAAGAGTGTTGTGTTGGCACTTCATGATGGATTTCTGGTGACGGAAATGCTCGAAAGCAAGGTGGATGTACATGGCTCCCTAAGCATTGTACGCCCATTATTTTAAAAAAAATATTAAATTTAGTTTAATTTATTAATAAGAATAAAAAAAATAAGAAAATTTGTATATTCAAATTTTTTTAATATGGGGTATTAAAATTTTTTTGGATTCTATTTTTAAATTTTTAGATCCGTCATTGTTAGAAAGGAGTACAGGAGTGGGCTTCGCAGCTGGGGGGTGTCTCGTATTTCCAGTAAATATCAATCAGAAGGATGAGAGAGAAGGGGACCACCGTCATGAAGGGTTTGAGGAGGTTGCGTGTGACCGCGATTAAGCCCTTGCGGAGGCCGTAGAGTGTGAGGAGGAGTACCATGATGGCTTCTGCACCAGCGGCGTAGCTAAGCACTACCCATTCCAGAGCCATTTTCTTTTCTCTTCGATAGATTAGATCTGATAATTTTTGACGAAACGAATGGGTGATTTGGGAAGTTCGGGAGGGGGGGGGGAGGAATATATACAACACCGAAGAGGTGGCCGACTATGTACTGTGAAGTAAACCGAGGAAGAAGGGACACGTGGAGTTGTCATTAAACACATGGACGCTTATGAAGGATTTGGGCTTTTTGTCATAATATCAAAATGGGTAAATTACATCGTTTCTTATTAAATAATATTATCTTTCTTATTTTATTTATCGAATTTTTAATTTTTTTAATTTACTCACTAAATTTTTGAATTATTTCTGTTTTGAATATTTAAAATTATTTTATTATTATTTTTGTATGATGTGATATTTTATTATTATTATTTAATGTAAAATAATTTAAAATATAAAATAAAAACAGAAGGCGATTGGACACCACCGTCGGTCGCCGTCGACCATTGTAGATGGTGGTCATTCGGTCCTAAATTTAATGAGTTGCTTATTCTCGACACCGTGATTCCAAATCTGACCTCTATTTTTTCGGAACTTGCTTCGAAATTCACGGATTAGAAATGGAAAGTGAGAAAGTCAAAATATTTCAATCGAGATTAACAACTTTTGGGACATTTTCCATTGAAACAAAAACCAAATTCAGACTCAGGAGTCGAGACAAACCGACCCATGAAATTTAAGACCGAATAGCCACCGTCGACATCACCGTCTATGGCGGTCGACGGTGGCGTCCATCAACTTTTTATTTTTATTTTATATTTTTTATTATTTTTATTAAATAATAAAAAATATCAAGTTATACCAAAATAATAATAAAATAATACAAAGTGATCAAAACATGAACAATTCAAAAATTAAGTGAGTAAATTAAAAAAATTGAGAGTACAATGAGTAAAATATGAAAGAGAATACAATTCAATAAAATATAGTGTAATTTACCCTATCAAAATTGACTATCACATATATGATGGACTTTTATTTTTTTAATATTTTTACCCTAACATTTTATCTTAAAATAAAAAAGGATAAATTATGTCAATAACCACTTAATTATTTAACTATTTTACTTTTACCATTGATTTTTTAATTTTGTCAATCAAACCACCTCACTATTTAATTGTGTTCAATCAAGTCACTTGTGCTCTCAGTTAATATTTGACAGAAGTGATGCTGTGACAATTAATGAAAATTGATATAATTAGGGGTGTTCATTCGGTTAATTCGGTGGTCGAACCGACCGAACTATCATTTTCGAATTAACCGAACTTCTTTTTTCTTAAACCGTTAACCGAACCGAACTTTTTTTCGAAAATATTAACCGAACCGAATAAATTTCAGTTAATTCGATTAATTTTCGAATTAACCGAAATTTTTTAGAATTTTAGAATTTAATATTTTTTAATTAAAAATAATAATTTACAATTAATTTAAATAATATCTAATTATAAATAATATCTAATTAATTTGATTCAAACATTTTGCATTTAGTTTTGATATTATTTTAATTAATTAATATTGATTTGGGGTTTAAATGGATTTTAAATGGATTGGGCCTCTTAATATAATTATATTTAAAGGTTAATTCGGTTAATTAACCGAGTTCGAACCGAATTAACCGTTAACCGAATTCCAAAAAAATCCTTAACCGTTCCCCGATCGAATTAATTCGGTGGCCGACCGAATTAACCGAACTAATTCGGTTCGGTCGGTTAATTCGGTTAAAACCGAATTTTGAACACCCCTAGATATAATTATATATTTAGTCACAATTACTTACTTATTCGATCAATTTGGTCATAATTTAAATAAATTTAATCCTCAAATCAGACAGTGCCATGTGTCATTGGTGTCAAGTGTTACGGCACATGTCACCACCCGATTCAAACTTGAGACCCTTTGCTTGGGGACTAAACACTCGACCGCTAAGCCATGTTGATAATTAGATTCAAAGTATCTAAGTTTGTAACACCCTTGACTCGTAACCCTTAACTCGTATATATACCCGAATACGAGTAAAAGATGTCACATAGCTTTACGTACATTCTAAGGTTGAAAATTTAGTAAAATTTTGAACTTTTAAAATTTATCTAATTTAATCCTTTCAATAAACAATGTAATCACGTAAAATCATATTTTAGTATTTAAGCCTCCAAATCAATATCAATTTCAGGAAACAACTAGATAGTTCTATAATGTTCCATATCATAAGATAAACTGCCTAATTAGTGTCTAATTTAAAATATTTCTTTACTCTGCCAAAATATAATTTTTTATCTACAACACAAAACTTAAATTCGTATTTATATCTATAATAACATATCTTAGACTTTTCTTATTTGTCTACATGACATCTAGAAAATTTAAAAATAGTAGGATCTCATTACTAATACCTGTAATTTTTCTTTATTGATTGATGCCCACTCAGCTCCTTACTTCACTTGCTCTTCTTTACCTACGAGTGAAAATCATCACACGCTAAGTATACACTTAGTGAGACATATAAGCAAACTAAAGTGATATACATAACAATCAGCTTAACAACATCTAAACAACATATTCACTTATATAAAACTTAATAACATCATAACAATTTAAAACATTAACTTAAATTCTAATAAAATCACTAAATATCCAAAACGATTTATTCAAGCCATTTTTCCTATCAAGGACCTGAAAACCATCATAAACAATATCATACATAATAGGCATATCAAATACATGATAAACAATATCATGCATAATTGTCATGTCATATTCTTTTTCATTCCTATACAATATAAAACTTTCATATCTCATTTTCATCTTTCACTTTCATATTCATTTTCACATTTCATTTTCATAATCCATACTTTCACATTTTAGAACTCATTCTCAAATTTAGAACTTGTTTCTAGACTCTTAACTTATTTCATATTCATAGCTTATTTTCAAGTTCATAGCCCAATGCATATTTATGAGAATGCAAGGTACGTGAGCGAGACAATTGTGAACAATAAGCACTTCAATGTTATCATCAAAATCAGACAATGCACTCAAAGTGCAATCATATCAATTGCACCAACGGTGCTATACATAATGTACACAAATGTACCATATCATAATCATAAGCACTCCACCTCATATCATGCCAATTGTACTTATTACTCTCAATGCAACATACAATGGGCTTTTCCATTAATTATGATATGTTATAGAATTATCAAAGATATCAATATCTCAACATATCTAACTTTACATATCATAACATGATGGGAAGTTCATACCCTAAATCATTCATAACACTTTATAGAAATATCATGGAAATAATCCATAATGAAAATAAAAATGTACTTTAAAATAATATGAGGTTGACTTGTCACAAGTCTTCCTTGATAAAATAATTAAACAAATAACTACACTTACCTTTCTTTAACATACACGTCATATTCATCATGGAATAAATATCATAATTATTTTGTCAACTATAATAAATTTGACTCATTTCGAACATTTATAATTTCATATAACATAAGAATAACATGAAAACACAATTTACGACAAATATCATTTACTGGCAGTTAGCACTACCTTCAAAAAAATATTATTCTATATTAATATACACACTTAAAAATTATTATGTTTATACCAATGGAAACTATACTCGAATAAGAATCTAACCTATAAGACACTCCTTCTATTTTATCTTGTACATTTTATAGTGAATTTTCAAATTTGACTTACATAAGCAGTTTTGAACAGAACCTCCTGCCCCTGTTTTATGACCTATCCTCGATTACAAATTCATATATTTTTGTATAATTCTTGAAATCAGTATCCTTTTGTTCTAAAAAAACTATACTGATATAAGAATCCAACGAAATAAAATGCATCTCATAATCATTTCTATATAATTTATGGTGATTTTCTAAACTTACTGTTCAGAACATAAATCTGGACAGATTTCACTATCTTATATTTTCAGCTTATTCACTAATTCTATTAGCATACCAAATGAACATATATACATGAATCACAAAATTTCATAACATTTAGGAGTCACTTCTTACCATAGTAAATCCATCACTATCTCATCGCAAGCAAATGTTTGCATTGTATCATAAATACAAATGAAATATGCACTCACCCTGGAGTTTTTAGCTTTCAACTTTCCTTAGAAATTCACATTTCATCCTTAAGCACTCCTTAGCTTTAACATTTCTTGATCTTGATTTCAAGCTGACAATCTAAATGAACATCATTTACAAAACATGTACATTTCAAACCACATGTTAGAATCTCACTAACAATAGGCACACAATATAAAATAAATTCCTAAAAATCTTTCGATTCTAATTCGATACTAATTCCATGTCACAAACTAAATATTGAGTTTAACAAATCAAGTTGACCATTCAAGTCCCTTTTTATCCAAATTCACCCAAAAATCACATAACCTTTTTAAACTTTCCATTTTAACAACTAATTATGAATTCTTTTAGAATTCATCTAAACTTTTCCATTTTATTCTAAATAGTCATTTTCCCTTTTACTTCAATTTAAGTCTCAAACAACTTAATTAAATTTTCAGCATCTAATTTCTAGCACAATACCTCAAAAATTCCATTATTACCACTTAAGTCACTAACTTTCTCAATATTTGCCATTTATTACTCAAACTTTGATAACTTCCCAAAAATAGTCAAATTTCATATTCTAACACCAAATTCATCACTCTAACATTAATTTACATAATAGTAATTCATGTATTGAATAATTACAAATCAACCCCATAACTTTTCAAAATTATCAAATAGGTCCCCAAAATTTATCAAAATTACAAATTGATCCAAATAACTTTCTAAAGATTGTAGGATCCTTCTTACATCATTTCTAACCCTTGTATAATTTCCCATAGTTTTCTCACTTCCAAATGCTTAGGTCGATTGTTAAGGGGGTAGGGTTTTCATGATTTCACTTGATTTCAATTTGATTCGAGCATGAAATCAACCTCTATTCAAAATTTTAAAACCCCTACAATCAAATCCCTAACCAAATTTATAAAATCCTAACATGAACATAAACTCTAAAATTTGAGAACTCAACATTTGAGATATATTAGCATGCAATAATGATACCAAATGATAGAGCTATTCGAATAGAACAATTTTCTATTTCACGGTTCGATCCAAAACCCAAAGGAAATTGCTCAAAAAAGAAAAATAAAATTTCTCTTACCTAGGTTATGAGGAGCACGAAATGGAGGTCGAATAATGACTTATTTCATGAAATTTCTAGTTAATTTCATGTTAATTTGTCATTTATTAAGCTTAAATGAATTTAAAATTTATTTAATTAAGAAATAACAATTTTACCATTAATGAAACATGATAATTACATCCATACCAAACCACATGTTGGTTATCATCTTCCAAAGTCAAAGAAGAACAAAATATTATAACCTTGACAACTTTATCCATGCAACTTTTCAAGAATTTCAATCTTGTCATTTTCATCCAACGGTCCAAATTCAACATGGAAATAAATTCTCAAATCCAATGGTCCATACTATTTTACATCGTTTTAAAATATGAAAATAATATTTCTAAGCTTAATTTAATTTCGTTTAAATTTTATCAAAATTTCTATTTTAATTTGATTTACCAAAATTTTACCGGACTTTAACACTTTATAGCTTTTAACATAAATTCCGGATCAGAAATATGATTTCCACCAAAGAGTCATTATTGAGGTTGAACTATTCATTTATGGGATCAAAACGCCTAACTTTGAAAATTACATTTTTAGTCTCTCAACATTTGAAAAATTACCCTTTTGGCCCCTAAATATTCCAAACTTTATATTCTAGCCACTAAACGTTCAAAATTTATATTTTGACCCTTGAATTTTAAATTCTTAAACTTTTAATATATATTTTAACTTAAATTCACGTATTAAATTAAGTTAACATCTTAACTTACAAAAAATATATTTATTTTAATTTTAATTTAAAAATATATTTTATTTTTATCTTTTACTTAAAAACATATATTATTCTTACTTTTACTTAAAAAATATTTTAGTCTTCTCTTAACTTAAACAATATATTTTATTTTTATCTTAACTTTTAAAAATATAATTTTTTTATCTTAATGGGACTTAACTTTAAAAATATATATATTTTTATCTTAATTTATTAAATATATTTATTATTATATTAATTTAAAATATATTTTACTCTTATTTTAATTTAAATAATTATTTTAATATTATCTTAACATAAAAATATATGTTATTCTTATATTAATTTTTTTAGAAAAAAATTTATTTTTATCTTAATTTAAATATATATATATATATATATATTCTTTTAATTATTCCATTAATATATACATTAATTATATTTTAATTATTTTATTTTAATTATTCCATTAAAATATATAAATTGAAATTATATTTTAAATTAATATAAGAATAAAATATATTTTTTAAAGTTGATTCCCATTAAGATAAAAAAATATTTTAAATTAAGATAAAAATACATTGATGTTGGAAACAATAAAATATAATGTATTTAGATATAAATAAAATATCATAATTTTTAATTATTTATGTGCTCTTATATATAATTTCAATGTACTTTTATTTTCTTTTACCATTATTATTATCAATCTTTAAAAAGTATAAATAATGTTGAGTTAATCAATCGATGTAATCGGCCAAGAGAGGTGAATTGGCAATTAAAAATTTGGCGGAAGCTTTTGCAGAAAATTAAAAGTAATTTGCACAGCGATTTAGAGTGGTTCGACTTTCTCAACCAAAGTCTACGTCCACTACCTTAGCTATCAGCACTAAGGATTTTCCAACAAATTCACTAATTTGTTCTTTCTTTTGAGGACAAAGAGATAACCTTATAACTCCCTCAAGAATATACCCCAATTCTTGAGAACCCTCTTTCTCAAAGAGAAGATTACAAATTCGCAAACTTAATGAAAAACCTCACAAGGTAAATGTGTTTGCACAATTCTAGAACAAATAAAGAACACTCAAGAATAATACAATTGAGTACAATAAGTGTTTTTGAAAGAAAAAATGAATATTGAATGAAATAGGCTTGAAAATGCTCAAACTTGAGGTTTGTTGATTTCTCTTTGATTCTCTCTTGATTCTTGTTGATTGTTGTTTCTTGTTATTGGTCAATGGCTTCTAAGCTTGTTTAAATACTCCTTCAATTGATTCTGAACGTTGGGGATGATTAGTGGAGTCAATGGAGCCATTTAAGTGTGAAAATAATTAATAAAATTGCTTGGAGCGTGGGGGGAATCGGTACCCTCTCACAGGGAATCGATTCCCTTAGTGTAAAATTCAAATATTTCGACCGTTGAACAGGGGGAATCGGTTCTCTCCGAGTATTCTGTTATTTCTCGGAGCCAAACCATTCAGGGGGAATCGGTACCCCCTTGGGGGGGGGGAATCGGTTCCCTTTGGGCAATCTACCCATTTTGGTTTGTTTTTAATTAAGAAATGATTTTTGACTCGATTAAGGCTCGAAATACTTTGTAATTTTTTTAACATATTTTTACACTTTAGTAAGGATTAAAATGAACTTTGAAAGACTTGGAGTAATTTTTGATATTCGAATAATTATATCAAATATACTTAGAAAATATTTTGTAAAATCTTAAAATTCATTTAACTTAATTTGTTATATCGAAATATCAAAATGTTTTCAACAATCTCCCCCTTTTTGATATAACAAAACATTTTAGTAATTTTAAGATTTTCTAATTGAAAATAAATTTTGAAATCGGTTTTGAAATTACTCCCCCTTACTATTACACTTCTCCCCCTTTTTGTTAAATCAAAAAGACTCTATAACGTTTTTAAACAAGGTTTTGAAAAATATTAGCCAATTGATTTAGAAATTTAAAGCTCTAAGCTGCTAAGATCACAATCAAGAGAAGACGTTAGCCATTAGTTTCATAATCAATATTCATAACGAATGTGAAATGGTGAAATTGGTCATATTTCTAACATGATGTACTTGATGCACAAAATTAAGCAAATCCACATATATAGATAAGTTCAAACAATATCAAACAAATTCAAACATCCAACAAACAAAGTAAAACAATCCAAAAACATTCAAAATGTTGAAAACAATAAGGTTGAAGCTAAGCAAGAAAACAGGGCCTAATCGTCCATCGGTGGATCAGGAGGAGATAAGTGTGTCCAAATATTTGCCACATCACGTGAAAGTGTATCGACCCTCTCGTCCAAAGTGTCAAAACAACGATTCATCATTTCGTTGGTAGCAGTAAGATGTGATTCGATGGATGCAAACCTCATATCAAGATTCTCCATAAATGATCGAAAGTATAGAGGCACTTGATCTTCTTGTTGTGCTTGTTCCTCATGTTGCTCCGGCTCATTGTCGGCGTCGTGTGCTTCAGGAGGTTGCTCACCGGTACGAACCCATTGACCAGTTTCTTCATTGATCTTCCATCCCAATTTAGTTAAAGAGAAGATGTTGATTTGGTTTCTGAATAGAAAAGTGGCATCAAGACCAACCTTAAGCTCGACTTTTGAAAACAAATTACTCAAAATACAACTGTAAACTATAGATGAACAGAGTTTCTTATTAAGAACAAGATTTACGGTTTTGATAATTTCAGTAAAAATAATATGAGGTAGGTTGATTTTAAGATTATTTTGGATACAATGTATCCAAAAGAGATCCAAGGCTTGAAGAGTGGAGTATCGGCCTCCGGATGGTCGAAACCACCAAGAGATCATAAGATGAAGGAAACGGTCATGAAGATCTAAAACACTCGCACTATCCCTTCGTTTATACTGAGAACCTACCATTTATTTTTCATTCTCTAAGCCTTCATTATCTAATCCTAATGCTCTGGCTATGTATTCCGGGTCAATGTAAAAGAATTATCCTAGAAGATAGGATCGTATTTCTATGGTTGCGGTTTTAACCCTGTTTTGAACACAAACGACATTAGAGTAGAATATATGAACGAGTTGATGATAAACTAATGGTTCAAGTTCGAAGAGTTTATCAAATTTCCACTCTTGTAGGGTAGGAAGATGTTGAAAATTTATGTCTAGCATGGCTTGAAGAGATTGGATTCGTTCTTCCCGGATTTTGTAAGACTCAAAGTATTGAGAATACCGAAAGAGTAGATTTTTTCTACGACCTGGTTCATTGAAGCACGAATTAAGAATGGTCATATTAGGATCATTGGGATTGGGATTAGGAATTTGTTGGATAGGAGGTGGATTTTGAGGTTGGTTTGGTGGTTGGCTAGATCGACTAGAGGAAGGTCTAGAACGTTTGTGAGACATGACGTAAGATAATCAGAATGGAAAGAGTAACCTACAATTTTAAAAAACACATGTATGCAACAAATATCAATCCCAAAACTCAATTGAGTCTGCAATATTTCAAGGTTCTCTAAACCAAATCCTAATGGGCAAAGTTTTGAAAAATTATGTTTGAAAAATAAGTTTTGAAAATTAATATGCATATAGTTTTCATAGTAATAACATGATTAAATCAAAAACACAAATTTTGAAATAAATTAAAGATTTTCATTTTTTTTAATTTCAAAAATTCAAAAATCAATTGAAAAATTGTGAGATTTTGATGAAATTAGTTGTAAACTTTAGTTTAGAAACATCAAATAATCAATGTTCGATATATAGTTCAACCTAGAACTAATTAAAACTAGTCCTAAAATCAAAATTTGATAAAATAGAAGTTTTAGAAAAATACCTTGAAGATTTTTGAATTTGAGTGAGATTGGATGAAGTTTGCACGATTTTAATGATTCTAGCAGGTTTAGGAGATGAAATATGATGAAATTCCGAATTGAGAAAGTTGTTTTGAAGCAAAGTAGAGATTTAGGGAGATGGAGAGGAGCAAAAGATGTGAGGAAGAGAGAAAGAGTTTTGAGAAGATGAGGGTATTTGGGGTGCTTAAATTCTAGAACTCGTGGGGGGTATCGATTCCCTCCAAGGGGAATCGGTTCCCCCTCAAAAGGGGGTATCAGTAACCCTTTAAGGGGGTATCGATTCCCTCTACACCAAAATGCTAAAAATATGATTTTAAACACTTAAATGCTAACTAATTTAGCTCTAGTGGTATTGGCAACTCATATATTGAAAAATTAACTGTGTTCAATTAGTCAAATCTATTCTTAAACTATATTTGAACATAAAATTAATTTTCACTAAGAATCATAAACTCCACCTAACTAATAGCAAAGAATGCAGTCAAACAATATTATTATTATAAGCATTTTCAAATTTAATTTAAAAGTACTAAACTTATTTTAAACACTAAGTGAAGATAGGTCAGTTAAACCTAATTCTCTCCTAAGTGTCCAAAATCTTTCTTTGTCTAAAGGTTTTGTAAAGATATCCGCTAATTAGTGCAAAGTATCAACAAATTCTATAACTACATCTTTCTTAGCGACATAGTCTCTAATGAAGTGATGTCTAATTTCAAAATGCTTAGTTCTAGAGTGTTGGATGGGATTTTTAGTGATAAAAATAGCACTAGTATTGTCACACTTGATAGGAATGGTACCTATTTCAATTCCATAATAAAAAAGTTGTTGTTTCATCCATAAAACTTGTGCACAACAACTACCAGCTGAAATGTATTCCGCTTCAGTGGTAGATGATGCAACACAATTTTGTTTCTTTGAAAACCAAGAAATCAGCATATTTCTAAGGAATTGGAAAGTACCAGAGGTGCTTTTTCTATCTAATTTGCATCCTCCATAATCCGCATCAGAGAAGGCATGCATGCTAAAGCTAAAGTCTCTAGGATACCAAAGTCCTAAACTAGGAGTGTCCTTAAGGTATCTAAAGATTCTCTTAACAGCTAGTAAATATGATTCCTTAGGACATGATTGAAATCTTGCACATAAGCAAACACTAAACATAATGTCCGGTCTACTTGCGGTTAAATAAAGAAAAGAACCAATCATTGACCTATATAATTTAACATCCATACATTTACCTCCATCTTTGTCAAGCTTTGTAGATGAGCTCATTAAAGTGTCATGAGGTTTCATATTTTCCAGTCCAAACTTCTTGAGTATATCATTGACGTACTTAGCTTGATCGATGAAGATGCCATATTTTCTTTGCTTGATTTGGAGTCCCAAGAAAAATGAGAGCTCCCCCATCATGCTCATCTCGAATTCACTTTGCATTCTTGGCAAAGAACATCATTAGTAGAACCAAATATTATATCATCAACATAAATTTTTTGAACTACTAATAAATCTTTACCTTTATGCTTTAAAAACAATGTAGTGTCAACCTTCCCTTTTGAAAAACCTTTTTCAATTAAAATATTTGACAATATTTCATACCAAGCTCTAGGAGCTTGTTTTAAACCTTAAAGAGCTTTTGTCAATTTAAAAACATGATCTGGAAATTTTGAATCTTTAAAACCAGGAGGTTGTTCCACATACACTTCTTCTTTTATAAAACCATTTAAAATGAACTTTTAACATCCATTTGATATAATATAAATTCATTGAAACATGCAAATGCTAATAACATTCTAATTTCTTCCATCCTAGCTACGGGAGCGTATGTTTCATCATAGTCTATGCCCTCTTTTTGAGTATACCCTTGAGCAACAAGTCTAGCCTTGTTTCTCACTATATTACCACTTTCATCAAGCTTATTCCTAAAATACCCATCTAGTAACTACAGTAGATTTATTATTATGCCTTTCAACTAATGTCCATACTTTACTTCTCTCAAATTGATTTAACTCTTCTTGCATAGCCATAATCCAATGTTCATCATTTAATGCTTCTTTAATATTCTTAGGCTCTATGCATGAGATAAATGCAACATAATTACAAATATTTCTAAGAGAAGATCGAGTTGTTACCTCTTTGCATGGATCACCTATTATTTCACCATCCTTAACATAGTTGTACTCCATTGGGTAAGAGATTTCCCTTTCTTCAATGGTTGGATTCTCGAGAGGATCTTGAGTTTCCTCATCTTTCGTTTCTTCCTTTTATGATGGTTCTCCAACGTCATGTCCAATGTCATTTATGTTTATAATGCCTACATCATCCTTCACACAAGAATCCTTCCTCGGAAGGGGATTATCATCGAAAACAACATGTATAGATTCTTCTACAACTAAAGTTCTTTTGTTAAATACTCGATAAGCTTTAGAATTTAAGGAATAACCCAGAAAAATTCCTTCATCACTTTTAGCATCAAATTTGCCAAGATTGTCTTTACCGTTGTTTAAAACAAAACATTTACATCCAAAATGATAAAAATAGCTAATGTTAGGCTTTTTATTTTTAAAAAGTTCATATGGAGTTTTCTTCAAAATAGGCCTAATCATTACTCGATTAATAACATAACAAGCGGTATTTGTGGCTTCTGCCCAAAAATATTTTGGCAAATTGTTTTCACAAAGCATGGTTCTAGCCATTTTTTCTAAAGTTCGATTTTTCCTCTCAACAACTCCATTTTGTTGAGGGGTTATAGGTGATGAAAAATTATGGCTAATACCGTTAGAATTACAAAATTCAGTAAATCCAAGATTTTCAAATTCAATTCCATGATCACTCCTAACACTAGTTATAGAGTAATTTTTTTCATTTTGGATTACTTTTGAAAACGTGGTGAATTTTTCTAATGCTTCATCTTTAGTACTTAAGAATAGAACCCAAGTATATATAGAATAATCATCTATCAATACAAATGCATATTGTTTTCCACCCCAAGCTAGTAGTTCTAGATGGCCCAAAAAGATCTAAATGGATCAATTATAATACTCTACTAGTGGATACGTCGTTAATGGATTTAAAAGAAACTCGCCTTTGTTTTCCTTTAGCACAAGCATCACAGATTTTATCATTATCAAATTTTAGTTTAGGAAACCCTCGAACTAAATATCCTTTAATTAATCGTTGCAAAACACTCATACTAGCATGTCCTAGTCTCCTATGCCATATCCAACTATCATGCTCATCCTTAGAAACTAGGCATAAATGTGTCATATCTATAGAATCTAAATGCACCATGTAAATGTTACCTATTCTATGACCAACAAGCATAATCTGATTAGATGTAATGTCAATGACTTTACAACCATTAATATCAAATATGACATTAAATCCCTTATCGCACAATTGAATAATACTCAATAGATTATGCTTTAATCCATTCACATATAAAACATTCTTAATTTGTATGGAAGAGGTATTACCTATAGTGACTATACCTTCAATGTGACCTTTTGAGTTATCACCAAAAGTCATCTTTCCTCTTTTTTTGGCGTTGAGCTCTATGAACCGGCTTTTGTCTCCGGTCATATGTCTTGAGAA